GAAGAGCGTATCCTATCCAACATTATGTCCCCAATACTTAACTGCCTTTCTTCTTACCGTGGTCAGAAACCACAGTGGTGACAAAAACATACCTAAGAGAGTAGGTAACTGGGACAGAGTCCCGAAGCGCAGAAGGATCTCAGCAACAGAACGCAGGTTGGCATTTCTTAAATGTTTTATAGGCAACATTGTACTGAGGCATTTTGTTTCAGTGAGCAAGACACATTCTCCAGGTGAAATAACTTCCTAGTTTCTACTTCATTACTCTTAAACATTTATATGGAGTTACAGAAGAAGAAAAAAAGATATTACCTATGCTGTATGCCACTGCAAAATTGTTTTGTGTTTGCCAGGAGCAAGCACTTAATATTCAATCTGACATACATTTTCAGTGCAACAAAAAGCCACTTGAGAAAAGAAGTTATTAAAATTGCATCCTTGTTCAAATTCCATGTGAGCAATACTTGCTCAGCAGTGCATAATAAAATTAATAAAATTCATTTTCTTGGGGTTAAGGAATTTTTTTTAGTAAATTCACAGTTGGAAAAAATTTTGACTTGTTATTTTGTTTTGAAAATATGGCTACTCTATTTGTTTTTTTTAAATATAGTAATTTGCAATGCAGTAAGAAGATAAACCTATGCTAAAAGCCTCTGTTATGAAAAAGCTCTGTGACAAGGATTTGCCTATTCAATTACAACACCCTATTAACTTCAATTGTATTCCACAGTTTGAGAAGAATTATAGGGTTGTTCTTTTCTGAAAGCAAGCAATTGCCCTCTCTAACAGCTTTTTGTTACTACATTCTTTGAAGAATGTCCTTTATTTTTCATGTATTTTGTTTGTAAACACCTGTTTTATATACCATTAAAAGCAATGGACACTTTTATTGCTCAGACAAATTAATTAATATGACAGTTAACTCCTAATCCAAACAAGTCCTGTTTCCCAAGTTAGATTTACATTAAAGTGTTGAGACTTTCACAATGTGTTTAATCAGATATAGACAGTAACACAGCACACACTTGACAGCAACAACTTCAAAGAACTTCTAATTCCTCTACATCAAATAACATCTGAGGATGAGCGACATACTCAGCCTACAGAGAAACAGTAAATATACATTTTAGCTATTAAAGTTTGAATTATTATCTTTCAAAAAGGCATCTTCATAACCTCATAATCAAGCGGCTTCTACCAACAGAAACATTTTCATGTCTAGAAAAGCATTCTAAAGAGTCTCAGAATTGGATATTTATGGAGATAAGATGACTCCTGGATTGTAACTTTGTTTTCATGTTAGCCATACTCTTTCTGAAGTTACAAATGCAAAGAAATTTTCTATTGCAATGATGTAAAATTTTGCTACCAGCTGTGACAGATAAGCCTATATTTTTACTCTGACTCAAAGAACTGAAGAACAAAAATCAGACATGTTGAAACCAATACACAATAACTACACCAGTTTTGCCTAAGTGTGAATATATTGAAATAATCCAAGACAGCATCAGAACAGTAGTGCAATAACACAGTAAAACCTGAAGTGAAATTTAGACTCAAACTTTTGAATATTATTAAGTGTTCAGAAAACTTCAGTTTGTTTTGATACCAAAGTCTATATATCTTTAAGTATGATGACGATGATCAGATAGTCATAGCTGCATTATCTTTAAACCAGCTTTT